GGAAAAAAAAAAAAAAAAGGTTAGAGTGGGAGAGAGCCAAAGCATAAGAGACTGTTGAGAACTGAGAGCAAACTGAGGGTTGATGGGGGGTGGGAGGGAGGAGAGGGTGGGTGATGGGTATTGAGGAGGGCACCTTTTGGGATGAGCACTGGGTGTTGTATGGAAACCAATTTGACAATAAATTTCATATATAAATAAAAATATATATATATTCTAAATATATAAAAGTATATATTTTTAAATTTTATATATATATATATATATATATATATATATCCTGTTATTTACTTTGCTCATAGATATAGCTGAAAGCAACACAAACCAACTTCAGTTGATCAACCGGAAAAGGATTTTATGATAAAAATATTATGTAGCTCACAGAATTGTGAGGAGAGCTGGAATCCAAACATACAACCATAGTTGAGTCTGAACTTACGGGAACCATCTAAAGCATGCATCAGAACCAGCCTGATGAGCAAACTGTAACTTCTGCTGCCCACTGAGCACCGGAGGAAATCCCTAGGCAAGCTGCTCCTGATTACTGGATGCCTCTGCTCCCATCAAAACAAACAAAATGGACTCCTCCCAAAGCTTGTTTCCTTAAGTTGCTTGTTTTTAAACCAAAGAGTCAGGAGCACGTGACTCGTTGGCAAAATGTAGTCCCAGAGCTTGTGTCTTAGCTGCAAGGAAGTCTGGGAATTTGAGTTTTCTGGATTCTGCTCTGATGAAGCCAGGTCCATGTGGCTGCCAATTTCTGAAACATCCTGAGAGTATTTGGAAGGTGCTGGGTAGCTTGAAAACATGACAGTTATGCACAGCTGGGATACATTAAAAGAAGATAAACAGAAGTCCTGCTGACCACAGCTCAGAACATTGCATTATTCTGGTGGTGCCAGAAGGCAAGACCTGACAGCGGATGGAGTATTCAAGTGTACCAGCAGGCTAGGTGTTAAATTTCGTACCAGTGTAAATAGTTCAAGAAAAATCCCCTGCCCCAGCACAACATTGCTCAATCTTATTTAAATTTCAAGTCTCTCAGCAAAACCCCTACGGGCATAATATGGAGATACGGGGTTTATGATCAGAGGAGATGACATGAATAAGCCTAACTCTGTTATCTTTACACTGTAGGCTGGGGATGGGGGTCCCCTGCCCACCAGTTCCTGTCTCGTGGCAGAGTGCGATCCTGAAGACAAATAATGATAATGATGCTGCTGATGATACTGATACTTCCTGATAGTATGTGCCACTTTTTAAAGCACTTTACACGTATTAGTTATTTGAAATCTTTACAACAACCCTATGAGGTAGATAATATTACTCTCTGATTTTACGGTTGAGGAAACTGGCACAAAGCGGCCACATAGCTAATAAGTGCAGTGCTGGCATGGGGACTCAGGTATCCTGCCCCTAGATCTGCTTTCCTAAGTACTGACAGATGGGGATTTCACTCGGTGTCTAGGTGGTTGTGATTGCTCCTGTTTGAGTGAATTCCAGGAATATATAGCACTTATATATTAACTAGGGAGAAAAATGAAAAGTGTTCTGAAACAATTATCACAGGTTTTCCTAAGATGATTGTGTCTGGAAAAAAAAAAAAAAGGAGAAATGGGTGAGAAACTGCAACACTGTCTAATTTTTTAGGAGTCTGCACTCTGGACCCTGATTCCCAGGAAATCCTTCTTCCTCTACTTACAACAATTCCAGTGGTAGCTTTCCAAGATTTTTGCCTCTTTAATGCTCACCTCAGTGCGGAGAGGTTGGTCATTTTTACACATGAGAAAATGAGTGTCAAGGTTATGTTATGGTCAAGATCACATAGACCATCGATGGTAAAAATCTAGGCTTTGAATGCAAATTCCACATTCTCAACTACCGTGTAAGCTATACAGTGAAGGTTCTCAGTGAAATGCAATATAGTGAAATGCAATATATGAAATGCAATGTAGTTCTTCCTTATCTGTGGGGGATACATTCCAAGACCCTCAGTGGATGCCTGAAACCACGGAGAGTACTGAACCCTAATATGCTATGTTTTTTCTTATACATACCATACCTATGGTAAAGTTTCATTTATAAATTAAGTACAGTGAGAGATTAACAACAATAACTAATGATCAAATAGAACAATTATAACAATATACTGTAATTAAAGTTATGTGATTGTGGTCTCTCTCAAAATATTTATTGTACCATACTCACCCTTTTTCTTGCGATGATGTGAGGTGATATAATGCCTATGTGATGAGATGAGACGAGGTGAGGTAAATGACTCAGGCATTGTGACTTAGTGTTAGGCTACCATTGACTGACCTTCTGATGATACAGAAGAAGGAGAATCATCTGATTCCACACCGCAGTTGACCACGGGTAACTGAAACCATGGAAAACAAAATCCCAGATAAGTGGAGATTACTGTTTCACACAGCAAGACAAGGCCAGAAAACCACAGTGACAAGGAGACCTGATTGGTGTATAGTCTTTGGAAATGGCTTGGCTGTTTATGAAATGGCGGCATACAAAGTCCATGACTTTAAATTCTAGTATTTATGACCAGTTTACATCCTGTTGGTCATGTAGCAATCTTTCCAGTCTGATAGCGCTTGCCAGGAATCCTATCAAGAAGCATGAACTCAAATGCTCTTCTTTTTTTATTTTTAAATGTCTATTCATTTATTTTGAGAGAAAGAGAGGGTGCGCATGCGTTCAAGTGGGGGCAGAGAGAAAGGGAGACAGAGAATGCCACGCGGGTTCCATGCTGTCAGCTGTCAGCGTAGAGCCCTGCGTGGGGCTCTGTCTCGCCCGTGAGATCATGACCAGTGTCAAAATCAAGAGTCAGGCACTGGACCGACTGAGCCACCCAGGCACCCCTCAAGTGCTTATCTATGCCCAAATTTGGCTGACCTTACATAAGAAATAACTTCTGCAGTTAGACGAGGTGCATTTGGTGAAACCCAGAAATAATTGGAAAAAAAATACTTCAAAATCAGAACTGCAGAATATAGCTAATTTTAGCCTGGTATTTGTAAACCTTTGTATTAGACTACACAGATGTGCTTTTTATTGCACCAAGAAATGTTTTGTGGAGGAACAACATTGCCCTGTAAAAGATGAACATAAAAAAGATGTAGGATCTATCTACATAGGGCACATGGCTTTGCCAAACATTCCTTCAACCTAATTTTTTCAACCGGGTCCACTTCCTAAGGTGAAATTCCCAAGCCTGCATCCTGTTTATTAATCCTTCTATGATTTAAAAGGCACCTTAGAAGTGCCTCCCTTTGAGGAGCCTGGGTGGTATGTACATATCTTACCCCCCTAACAAGGCTTCTAGCTTTTAGCAAGGGCTATTTCTGATTCATTTTCTATGCCCTGATAGCCTGGCATACTAACCTGTACTTAATAGACACTCAATATTTGGTTGAATCCGCCCCTGCCCACATCAGGAAGCTGGGTGGACAAGTAACTGTGGTTTCTGTTGGGGAAAATACTATGCCACTGATTTACTAGAATTCTTTAAGAAACTGACATCAGTTTGTAGCTAAGTACTCGTGGATATACTTTTCCAACTGAATTTTATGGTAATTGGGAGACTGCTGTGTCAAGGGAAGAAAACCGGTTCAAAACTATAAACAAGAAGGATAAGTATATAATTTCTCTAAATGAAAAGGCCCTAGCCACAAAGAGTCTGTTGCAGCTGACCTTAATTAACATGTTAAAAAATATAAATCATCTGGCTGATGAAGCTATAAAATGTTCCAGATTGCAGATAAGAAGTCAAGTTAATGAACATAAATGGCAAAAGAAATCGGCAAAGAGTTGAGTGGAAGGAAAAGTGACAGATGTGCTCCATTGAAGACAAGTACAAACTAATGATTAAAATACAAAAGTATCATATAAGATGACAGACTCTGAGCCATTAGTAACAATTTAGGAAAGTAATAAAGCCCCTAAACTCAGGCATTTTCTAAACACACAGACCCCAAATTTCCAAGTATTATCAGGCAGGTTTTGGAAAACCAAAAGGTATTGTTTTCCTTTTGCACCAAAGCCAGATTCTGTAGCTGTGTCTAAGGACAGACATACAGAGTAGAAAAGGATCCAGAGAGATACACCTAGAGCAGGGTTCTCAACGGCAACACTGTAGGTGGATAATTCTTCGTTGTGGGGTGCTGTCCAGGGCACTGCAGACTGTTCAGCATCATCCCTGCCCTCTACTCACTAGATGCCGGCAGCACACTCCCAGTTATGACAACCAAAAATATATCCAGACATTACCAAATGTCTCCTGGGGGCCAACCTGTCTGGTTTAAGAACCACTACTCTAAAGTGATCAAGAAACTCCCTGGCGACAGATAAAATCTGATAAGCATATGACAGAAATAAACATTCCATGAGAGAGTTCGTGCAAATAGGTATATGTTTACCAAATTTCAGGACTCTGGATGTGGTTGAGGGAGGCACTTTTTTTTTTTTTTTAATGTTTATTTTTTGGAGAGAGCAAGTGAGGGAGGGGCACAGAGAGAGGGAGACAGAGAATCCTAAGCAGGTTCCAGGAGGTCAGAACTCACAAACCGTGAGATCATGACCTGAATTGAAATCAAGAGTCAGATGCTCAACTGACTGAGCCTAAATAACTGTAGAAAGAGGTATGTGAGGGATGTGCTTTCTGTGGGGTGTCTGAAGCATCAGACTTAGAGAGTCCACCTACCAGTCATGCATGAAAGTTCAAGTTCCTGATCTAGACCTCCGGAACCCATATTCTGTAGTAGAATTATGCTGGCAGGCTTCCAGACTCCTCGCATAAGGATAATTTTATAAGTGACAAGTTGTACATTTTGGCCCAATGTTGCACTGTTTCATCCTGAAGTTCCTTGAAACCTCTAAAGTGTATTACAACCACTCCTGGTGATTTATTTATGTCTAGTGTGTCAATTAGACTCAGAACATCGTGTATTCTTAACATTAGTTTGACCTCTCTGCTTCAAAAGATGATTTTATCTTTCAGATCTTCCTAATAACTACTGCAATAAGGACTCAAAAATTTTGTTTAACTTCTGTACTCTTTAGTTCTACCATTTTTTAAGATAGATGATGGCCCTCTCTTCCTTCACCCCAATGATGTTTTGTAGACTTTTCTATTCTTGGGATGGCATAGTAGAAACATTATAAGCTTTGGGTCAAATATATTTGGATTTACGTCCTTGCTATAACTCTGTGTCTTTTGATGTAACTTTTCTACTTCACAAAACTAGAATTTCCTCATCTGTACGGACAGGATTAATAACATTTACATTTCATCGGTTGGAGAAGATTATTGAGGGGACACATAAAATGCTTCCCAAAGATGCCACAGTGAGCTCTCTCCCCACCGTTCATCTTCCTCACTTCCATAATATTTCTAAAGGGAACTCTCCTTCCTTGTCCTCTATGTAAGTGGTGGCTTCTGTTGTTTTCACTGTTTACCAGCACAGATGTTCCCCCCACATCACTTCCTGATCATTCTCATCAACAACATAACCAACATCCCTTCCCCCATCTTCTAACGAGGTGTATTTAATGCGAAATTCTAAGTAATTCCATATCGTACCATTGCTATGGTCTGAATATTGGTGTCCCCCAAAGTTCCCATGCTGGAATCCTAACTTCGAAGGTGGTGGTATTGGGGGCAGGGCCTTTAGGAGGTGCTTAAGTCATGAAGGGTGGAGACTTTATGGATGGGATTAGTGCCCTTATGAAAGTTGTCTTAAAGAGCTCCCTTGCCCCCTTCCACTGTGTGATCACTCACGGTGAAGTCTGCAGTTTGCAACCTGGATGAGGGCTCTCACCAGACCCAGAGCATTTCTGGACTTTTAGGCTCTAGAGCTGTCAGAAATAATTTTGTGTTGTTTACAAGCTACCCTGTCTGTGGCGTCTTGTTATCACAGCTGAAAAGGACTAAGACAACCATAGTTTCCTTTTGTTTAAGTGAACCACAGGTTGGATTTTTAAGCGGTTTGCCTTTTGTTGCACATATGCTGAGATTGATTATGTGGTATTTATTGTTATCCCATCTTTTACTAATCATTGCTTCCTTTTTTCTATTCCTATTATTTTTTCTATTCCTTTATTGTATTAAAATAAAGAATCATAGTCAGTAGAGCATGTGACTCTTTATCTCAGGGTAGTGAGTTCAAGCCCCACGTTGGGCATATAGCTTACTTTAAAAAAACCAAAAAAATAAAGAATCATGTTTTTCTTTTCACATGGAGTTGAAAATTTAGTGTTGGTTAATACCAACTTCTGCATGTCTTTCTATAGAAGGTTTCTGTTTGCTGTTTAGCAGTCTGTATTTGACTTCAAGGACCTTCACTGAACACATGCTGTGTATGAAGCAATGTATTAAGTGCTTTTATATTCATTATTTCACAATTTTACAAAAAGTTGTGAGGCATCTTTATCATGTGAAGTATCTTTAGTACCACATGTGGTTTTCTGGTGGATTTATTTTTATTTAAAAGTGTACACCTACAGAAAATAAGTGTTGTTTCTGCCATTTTCTAAACAGATAACATTATAAATCATAATTCTTTTCAAAGGATGGACTTTAATAATTTTGTTTTTGTTATATATTGAAGGTAGACAAGATAATTATAATGGATGTATAAAAAATAAAATAACATTGTGTATCCACCAACCAGTTTAAAAAACAAACATACGTACGTTTGAAAGCTCTTTGCTCCTTGCCTACCCTTTGTGGGTTCCAGCCCTGTTCAAAGATAATCTTTAATTTTTTTTTTTAACATTTACTTATTTTTGAGAGACAGAGCATGAGCAGGGGAGGGGGACAGAGAAAGAGGGAGACACAGATCTGAAGCAGGCTCCAGGCTCTGAGCTGTCAGCACGGAGCTTGATGCAGGGCTTAAACTCATGGACTGCAAGATCATGACCTGAGCCGAAGTCAGACACTTAACCGACTAAGCCACCCAGGCACCCCATCAAAGATAATCTCTAAATGCTTAAGCTTTATATTTTATAATGTGTAGTGAAAACAGTGATGCATATTGAGGACTTCAAGCTTCCATGGGATCAAATCAATTCACCAGT